GACCCGGATGGTTCTGGTGAACGCCCTTTACTTTAAAGGAAACTGGGAACATCAATTCTCAGCACAAAACACCACAGAAAAACCTTTTAGAATAAACAAGGTAGGAGACTTTTAAAGATCAGTTTGGATTTTCACATGGCATTGTAAAAGAAATTGTTTTAAATTCGCTCTTCTTTTTGATTATATGTTCTTGTAAATGGAGGCTCTTACTAGGAAAGAGATGCCTGGGTTGAAAGTCTCCAGCTCTATCCCACCTGGAAATTCCCCTTCCATTGTTGTTCTCTGAATACGGATTACTCACATAATGTTATCACTCAGAACTTGCTACAGCCATGGGAGCTGGGTAGGGTGATTTTTATATTTGTTTCCCAGGTGAGAAATACAGTGTAGCCAATTGACTGGAGACATCCCTGAGTCAGAAGCATTTCAGAACGGAAACCTAAGTTTTGTTCACGATAGAAGTTCTGTTCTTGTTCTACTAAACCAATACTATCTTCTACCAAATTCTTACCTTTACATAAGTAAAAGAAATAAACAATTTAAACCTTACCTTGTTCATTAAGGTTTCTCTCTACATTAGGACACACATTTGTTCTATAACAAGTAACAGGAGCTCACTACAGCAAAAATGGAGACTAATGTAAGGTTAAATATATATCTCTCATGGAGTCCATGGGCTAGAGTGTGGCTGGGCCTCACAACCTGTGTGGAAACAAGGACTTGAATGTTGTCAGGATTTTTTCCCCTACCTTTTCAACTCTGTTTCTTCCATCCTTCTGCTCCCAGGCTGAAATCTAACTTTCTCTGCTTCCGAGTTCATAAGGGTAGAGCATGGATATTCATGATACTTTCTCCATTCTAGAGACCAATTTCATAAATCCTATTCCAAATTCCTAGGAAAGGGACTGGTTGGACACGGTATTTTAGAGTTGTTTAGTCCAGGGATGGGCCATAGCGTACAAACAGTGCTGCTGAGGACCTGTTGCTGTAATTGTGTGGCTGTGTGCAACAGGCATTTCTCAATCAGGGGGGTGAGGATGAGGAAGGAACTGAACACATAATCAAATAAGCTAATGAGAAATGAGCTGGATAGTTCCCTGGGTTGGCATATTCAGCAGGAATTTTCAGTTGCAAGTAATAAAAAAACATTCCAAACCAGCTGCAGCAAAATGGGAATTATTTATCTACGTTAGCTTATGTAACTTAGAGGAACTGGGAAGTCCAGGAGTCAGTGAATGGGGTCTCTAGCGTCCCAAAACACAATCTCACCTCTCTCTCTCTGTCTTTCTCTCTCTCTCTCTCTTTCTCTTTCTCCCTTCCCCCCTCCTCCTCTGGTTGTTACTCTCATTCTCTAATAATGAAGATGGAATTTTTCCACATGACCAGGAAATATGGTTGCCCTATATTTGGCCTTCCAGCTTCACAACCCTAGTACACAAAGTCTTTGCTGTTAGCTCTAACACAATGACTCCAAGGAAGACTCTAGTTGGTGCCATTCATGGGCTTTCGCCGGAAATGATCACTGTGTCCTGGAGTCTTCCTGGTAAACAGCCCTGGTCATGTGGCCACCGACTTAGCATATGGGAAGGGCTCTGAGACTTACACTCACCTCCACATAAATGGAAAAACAACATATATCTACAACATCTTAATTGCAGAGGGTTTTGTTTTGGGGATTTTTGGCAATTGGTTTTATTTAAAAATAGACTTTATTTTTAAGAGCATTTTTAGTTTACAGAAAAATTGTGCAGAAAGTACAGAGTTCTCATATCTCTCCCTCTCAACACTTATGCACAGTTTCCCTTGTTATAATATTAATATTATTATCTTGCGGTAGTGTGGTACTTTTTTAATAATTGATGAGCTAATATGGATACATTATTATTAACTAAAATCCATAATTTACATTCAGGTTCACTTTTGGTATTGTACAGTTCTATGGGTTTTGACAATTGCATAACATAATGGAGCCACCATTACAGAATCATTCAGAATAGTTTCACTGCCCTAAAAATGCTCTGTGCTCAACCTATTCATCCCTCCCCCTAAACTGTTGATAATCCCTGATCTTTTTTGTTTTGTTTCTACAGTTTTGGCTGTTCTGGAATGTCATATAGTTGGAATCGTACAGCATGTAGCCTTTTCAGGCTGACTGATTTCACTTAGCAGTATACATTGAAGGTTCCTCCATGTCTTTTCATGGCTTGATGGATCTTTTTGTTTTATTGCTGAATAATATTCCATTGTATGAATGTGCCGTAGTTTGTTTATCTATTCACCTGTTGAAGCGCATCTTAGTTCCTTCCATTTTTTGGCAATAATGAAAAAGGTTTCTATAAACACTCATGTGCAAGTTTTTGTGTGGACACAAAGTTTGAACACATTTAGGTAAATACCTAGCAGCGCAATTGCTGGATTATAGGATAAGACTATGTTTAGTTTAGTAAGAAATTGCCAACTTCCAAAGTGACTGTACCATTTTGCCTTCTCACTGGCATCAATGATAGTTCCTATTGCTCCACATCCTTGGCAGCATTTGGTGCTGTCAGTGTTTCAGATTTTAGCTATTCTGATAGGTGTGTTTAATGACTTACGATTGAGCAATTTTCATATGCTATATGTCTTCTTTGGTGAAGTATTTCTTCAGATCTTTTGCCCATTTTTAAAATTGAATTGTTTGTTTTATCATTGTTGAGTTTTAAGAATTCTTTGTATACTTTGAATACCAGTCTTTTATCAGATAAATGTTTTGCAAATATTTTCTCCTAGTATGTTGCTTGTCTTTTCATTCTCTTAGTGAATTCCAGTTTTCATGATACTAAAATATCATGCTTTCTCAAATGTTTGCATGTGAAATATACTTTACTCAGTTTCTGGATCATTGCCATTTATGTACTTTACGGAAGAATATATATTCTTTTAAGTGTTTGGTAGACTCTACCTTGCCATGATTTATAGAGATTGCCATGATAGTGTTAGTGAAAGAAATTCACATATCTCATATGGCAATATTATTCAGTGGAATACATATTTCCAGAAAGGAATGTCTGGAAAACTTTATTCAGTATTTAGCAGAGGATCATCGATTTCACTAGCTTCCAGACAACTGGGAATACATGATGATAAAGAATTAAGGATTAGTGGGGTATCTCTTCAATGACTTTGGTATTTATTTTTTATAGACTACAAGCAAACCAGTGCAAATGATGTACATGAAAGAAAAACTTCATATTTTTCACATAGAAAAGCCACAAGCTACAGGTCTTCAACTCTACTATGAGAGCCGTGATGTCAGCCTGTTTATACTACTGCCAGAAGACATCGGTGGTCTGGAACAGGTAAATTCAGCAGTCAGACTGATGTGAGGGAGGTGTCAGTGTTTACTCCTATGTTTTACTGGGAAAAACATAAGGACATTGTCTCCCTTTTTTTAAATTCCGATATAGGAAGCCATTCAACATACTTTAAACCCTAGGTAATTTGCCATTATGATATCATTTAAACTTTTCAAAACTCTATTAAGTTGATATTACTATTCCTCAGAAAGGTTACGTAATGTATAGACATCTCTAGCATGAGGTGGTCACACAAACAGCCACATGTACAACAGATACAGATATTCTTTGTCAGTCATAAAACTGTTCAAAACTGTGTGGATTGATGATAACAATATTTCAGTAAATCCAGCACATAGACACACACATTAAGCCATCTTTCAAAACTTATATTTGAAACATTTTTATCAAGTGAACAACCTTTATGAGAAAACGTCTGTGTCAACACCATCTTTGAGTATTATTTAAGCTGTTTATTATCCATATTTCTATTAACCCTGAGATAACTTTGGTCAGACCATGTTTCTGAGCAATTTCCATGCCTAAACTGAACATTAGTCTCTCATACAAAGGTCTTTCTTTGCACAGTGTCTAATTTTTCATATGTGCCAGACTTAATACTTAGAGGTTTCCAAGGCCCTACTAGTATGTAGAAAAGACTTCCAAATTGTATCATAAAATTTGCGGAACTGGATAGGATGGTAAAAATAAGACTAGTGTGGGCAAATAACCATTAGAGTCATGCCCTTGTAAGATAAGACCCTTTTCCTACCAGTGCAGGTTCCTGAGCTGAAGATATTTTCACATTATTAATGTAAATATTTTACAGTTATGTCATTGACAGCCAAAGCTTTAGTCTAGAAAACTCTCAAAGTAGCAAAAGCATATGCTTTGAAACAAATGTGTTATTTAAAAAAAATCAAATTTGTATGCACATATACACACATAGTATATATACATATATATTATTTAATAATTTTAAAATATAAAGAGGAGAAAAAGCACCCTCAAACTCACTATAAAAATCATTACTCTTAAGAGTTGGGAGCTTTCTTTTCTCTCTTTTTCTTTCTTTGCTTTGGCATAGTATATAGTTATTAATTTTATATTGTTTGATTATAGAGTATAGACATTTTATTTTATACCAGATTTTGTTTTCAAAGAACTATCTCCCACATTGATAAAACTAATTTTTTGCACCCTGGCATACAACTTGAACTAGAGATATGCTTTTGTATAGACAACATCTAAATGTATACTTACATTGATGTATTTGAATATAGAGTTTATGTCTTGCATACTATTGTAGAAGTACTTCCATTCTGAACCAAAGTCTAATTCTCCTATATCCTGAGAGCTATTAATCTGCAAAACAAAAATCCTGAAGGTCAACAGTGTGAATGATCTCATTACACAATCAAAGGATTTCCACATGTGTGTTTCATCACCCTGGGTAATGGGAGTGATTATAGTTCATATATGTAATTTCTAGGATATCTCACTCAACCACTATTTCTCACTGCACTTTGGAATTAATGATTCTTTCTTTCTTGATTCCAAACTTGCAGCTGGAAAAGGCCATCACCTATGAGAAGTTGAATGAGTGGACCAGGGAAGACATGATGGAGCTGTATGAAGTGCAACTGCATCTTCCCAAGTTCAAGCTGGAAGAGAGTTATGATCTCAAGTCAACCCTGAGCAGCATGGGGATGAGAGATGCCTTTGACCAGAGCAAAGCTGATTTCTCAAGAATGTCTTTGGAGAGAAATCTGTATCTGTCCAATGTTTTCCACAAGGCTTTTGTGGAAATAAATGAACAAGGTACTGAGGCTGCAGCTGGCACAGGGAGTGAGATAGGTTTTCGAATTAGACTCCCCTCCATTGAAGTAAATGTAGATCACCCATTCCTCTTCTTCATCAGACACAACAAGACCAATAGCATTCTCTTTTATGGAAGATTCTGCTCCCCCTAAACTCTGCATCTCTCTCATCAAACAGGCCCAACTTACAGTGTGAAAAATACATTCATAATATGGAAAAGCACAATTTTCACAAAAATAAGTTTGTAGACTAGACCTCTTTCATGTTTGAATATAAGTAAATAAATCTTGAAGTAATGCATTCTAGTGATCCTGTCATATCTATCCAGCTAGAATGACAATTTTTATTTTTACCATTTAAATGATATTTTGTCTTAATGTGACTTTCATTTACATTTCAGAAGTACTATGTCATTCAATTGAATGCCTGACAATTCTTGATATACTTGATCGCTGTGTTATCATTGTCACTTACCATATTTCACATACATCATTTAGTGAAAAAATAGGAGATATGATGTTGATAAACAAAAAGTTTCTCAAGAAGAATATCATTTTGGTGGCTTATAAATTACCAGTGTAAAATTAAATCCTTCTTTTCTATTGACTATTTAAAAATACTTATATTGACATTAATGGAAAAACTAGTGAGATCCAAATGAAATCTGTAGTTTAGTTCATAGTATTCAACCAATGTTGTTGTCTTAGTTTTGACAAATGCACCATGGTAATGTAAGATGTTAGCACTAGGCGAAACTGTATTAGGGGTATATGAGAATTCCCTGTATTATCTCGGCACCTTTTCAAATTATGAACTATTAGTTATCAATCTAAAATTATTCCAAAATAAAAATTTTATTAAAAATAATTATTACGCATTGCTTAAATATTCAAAGTCAATATCTCATAGTAACCTTAGTTCTCTCAATCTGTCCAGCACCAAGCAGGCAGGAAATTTCCTCCTGATTCATGGTTTCTACACTGGAAGAAATGAGATCAAGCTTCCCAACCATCTTGGGTTCTGTGGCAGGAGACCTGTCTCTGTCTCAACCCATGGGGAGCACTGGGAGTGTCTGAAGGGGAAAATATCCCTAAGGATAGCCAGACACAAAGAGGGTAGGTGGAAATACCATCTCCAGCCCTGGAAACTCTGCTCTGTAGCTTGTCCAAAAGAGACACCAAATCAGAATGGTTGTTCAGCAGCACCACGCCATAGGAGGTTGGTTCCACAGGTCCCCTAGGCACGAACCTCTAGTCAGTCTTCCAACACTGCCTAGACATCCCTTTGGGGACCTCCACCAGTGCGGGACCAGGATGGGTTGTTTACTAGAACTGAGGCAAACCTGGGCTTAAGGCACCATCTAGTGGTGCAAAGAACACAGCAACTTAGTGTCCAAAAAAAAAAAAAAAAAAGAAAAAAGAAACAGAAAAAGAAAAAGAAAGACAGACTTATCAACAGGCAAAATACAAACAATCTCTAAGCAAACATATCTAATAAAAAACAAAACAAGCCATACAGGAAAGTATATATAAGACACTGATGAAAGAAATTGTAGAGGACACAAAAAGTGGAAAGATGTTCTATGTTCATGGATTGGAAGAATTAATATTGTTAAAATTATAATACTACCCAAAGCAATCTACAAATTCAATGCAATCTCTATCAAGATACCAATGACATTCTTCACAGAAATAGAAAAAAAAATCCTAAGATATGTATGGAACAACAAAAGCCTCCTCATAGCCAAAGCAATCCTGTGTCAAAAAAAAAAAAAAAAAAAAAGCTGAAAAAGCTGGAGGCATTACACCACTCAATTTCAAAATATACTACAAAGTTATAGTAAACAAATCAGCATGGCACTGGCATAAAAACAGATATACAGACCAATGGAACAGAATAGAGAACCCAGATATAAATCAGCACATACACAGACAACTCATTTTCAACAAAGGCACCAAGAACATACAATAGGAAAAGGACAGTCCCTCCAATAAACGGTGCTGTGAAAACTGGATTATTATATGCAGAAGAGTGAAACTCGACTCCTGTCTCTCACTCTATACAAAAATCAAATAAAAATGGATTAAAAATTTAAATCTAAGACCTGAAATTATGAAACTACTAGAAGACATTGGGGAAATGCTCCACAACATTGGTCTGGGCAAAGATTTTTATGCAAGACCTCAAAAGCACAGGCAACCAAAGCAAAAATAGATACATGAGATTACATCAAGCTAAAAAGGTTCTGCACAGCAAAGCAAACAATCAACAGAGAGAAGAGCCAACCCACAGAATGAGAGAAAATATTACTTGCAAACTATCCATTTGACAAGCGATTAATACCGGAATATATAAAGAGCTCAAATAACTCAATAGCCAAAAAGAAAAAACTGATTTAAAAAATGGGCACAAGATCTGAATAGGCATTTCTCAAAAGAAGACATATAAATTGCCAAAAAATATATGAAAAAATGCTCAATGTCACTAATCATCAGAGAAATGCAAACCAAAATCACAATGAGATATCTTCTCACTCCAGTTAAAATGACTTTTATAAAAGGATATAGGGAATAACAAATGCTGGCAAGGATGTGGAGGAAGGGGGACCCTCACACACTGTTGGTGGGAATATAAATTAGTAGTGTCACTGTGGAGAAAAGTATGGAGGTTCCTCAGCAAACTGAAAACAGAACTACCATATGATCCAGCAATTCCACTACTGGATATATACTCAAAAGGAAGGAAATCAATATATTGAAGAGATATCTGCACTTCCATGTTTATTGCAGCACTATTCATAATAGCCAATATATGGAACAAGGCTAAGTGCTCACTGATGGATGAATGGATATAGAACATGTGGTATATATGCACACGGAATATTATTCAGCCATAAAAAGAATGAAATCCTGTCATTTGCAGCAACATGGATGGACTGGAGGTCATTATGCTTAGTGAAACAAGCTAGGAACAGAAAGACCAATATTCCATGTTCTCACTCATATGTGGGAGCTAAAAAGGCAGATCTCAGAAAGGTAGAGTAGATTGGGGGTTACCAGAGGCCAAGAAGGATAAGGGGGATGATAGAAGAAATAAGACCCAGCGTTTGATAGATCAGTAGGGTGACTACAATTTACAATAATCTATTGTATATTTCAAAATAACAAGAAGAAGATAATTTGAATGTTTCTAGCATAAAGAAAAGACAAATAAAGACAAATATTTAAGACAGTGGATATTCCAGTAACCCTGATTTGGTCTTTACAAATTTTATGAGTGTATTAAATTAACACATGTATCCCGAAACTATGCACATCTATTATGTATCAGTTTTAAAAGAATAAAAATCTAGTTAGCATTCTCCCCACCCGCAGTCATCTGAGCCCTTCTGTTCCCCATGCTCCAAAACGCGATCATGGTTTTCACGCTCATTTGTGTGATTTGTCAATGCTCTGGAGTCTAATTCTTATCACTAGCTGATTGTGTAGGCTTGTTCATTTTTAGTTTCTGTTCCGCAATGTGCAGCGGCTTAAATCCATGTATCAGGACTTGGCGCTTTTCTGGTCACTGGAGTCGTAATTCACAGTTCTCGACGAAGACACATTAACTTGGAGAGGGAGGGTGGAGTACTAGCCCTTCCTCACTGAAAATTCCCGGAGCGCGTAGGGCCATCGTTTTATCCGCCGGAGCGTGTGCAGGGCTCGGCGCTGGGACTGTGCCCCGCGAAACCCCCGCTGCCTGCAGACCCGCCCTGCCGCTCCCGCCCAGGCGCCGCTGGGCTCCGGGTGGTACCGGGGCTTGGTCCGGGACCCGGCCCCCCACCCCGCCAGCATCTGCAGCCCAGCGCGGCTCCGTCATCTCCATCCCTGCCACTTGGACCCTGGCGGCGGAGCTGAGAATTTGGGGTAGGCGTCTGGCTCTGGGCACTGCTCTCAAACGCAGGCATCAGGTTATGGGCTCTAGCTCCTGGGAAAAGTGCGGGAGCCTACGAAACCGGGCGAAGCGCCCAGCGCGCCTTTCCGGGCTCCCCACGTGTTCCCAGGGCTCCCCTTCTTCCCGTTGTAGGGTTCTGGCTGGGACGGGGCCGGGTGGCGGGGGGAGTGGGCGGGGAGCTAGGGGATGAGCGTCCCGGCCCGGCTCCCCCTGCAGGAGCCAGGAAGCAGCTGCGGACAGTGACACATCCCAACCCACCTGGGGAGTTGGGTGGGCTTGGGGGGCTTACAAAATAAGACACATCTCAGTTTGGGAGGCTGAGAAGTCCAAGATCAGGGTGCCAGCAGATTTGGTTTCTGGTGAAGGCTCTCTTCCTGGCTTGCAAAAGGCCAGCTACCTTCTAGCTGTGTCCCCATATGGCAGAGAATAATCTCTCTCTCTTCCTCTTCTTACAATGCCCTTAATCCCATTATGAGGGCCTCACCCACATAACCGCCTTTAACCCTAATTTACTTCCCTAATTCCCCATCTTCAAATACCATCATATTGGGGGGTGGTGCAGCTTTAACATAAGAATTTAGTGGGGACATAATTCAGTCCATAGCATATGTCCTCTCCTAAGTCCTTAGTTCTTTCATTGTCTACTCACTCCCAGCCACAAGATAGCAGTTCCTCTTTTGCATCTGCTACTTCTGCTCCATTTAAGTCTTTTTTAAAAATCACCTTTTATTAGTTAATTAGTTTTTGTATTAGTTCTCCCCTGTTCGAATAACTGATGTGATTTCTGTCTCCAGTGGACCCTGACTGAAGTAACTGCATAGGCATCTCACACACTATCAGAAAAGACTGTGGCAGGAGCCTGAAGTACAAAGTGCAGATCTATCAAACCCACCCTGTCTTGAGTTAATGCAGCTTGTAGAAAAAAAATGCTCCATTAAAAATGAAAACTCTTGAGATAAATGCTGAACCAGACAGGGCACCAGAACAACTAGTATAAACGGGCACTGTCTCTGGAAAACCAGCTTGTATGTTCACCCTATTGACATGTCATATTCTGAGAGGATATCAAGGAATTCTAGTTCCCACCCATCTTTCCTATCTGCAGTACCCCCAATCAAAGGAAAAAATATACTCAGAAGCCAAAGAGACCTCCCTAATTGCTACCCAACTCTTCATTACTTAATACTTCCAGATAGCATCCTTGGTATTAATGGAGGGAATGGCAATGCACTATTGAAACACTAATTGCAGTTATCAGGTAATATCGTATCAGGAGATGTTTTTTTCTCATAAATTCCTTGAATACAAAACCAGGCATACTAATTAATGTAATGCTTTTCAAATGTAGGTCCACTGAGTTCTACATATTCCTTGGCCAACAAGTGCCCCACAACACTTCTCTTTCATTGCTTGCTTTGGTTTTGATAATAATCTAGACATTTTAATGTAAACATTGTGTAAGTCCACTTCGTGTTGCTGTGAATGAATCTGGCTCATGGTTCATATACAAGAAGCATGGCAACAGCATCTGCTTGGCTTTGGATGAGGGCTTTTGTGCTGCATCAAAACGTGGCATACAAAAGGCAGAGGGGAAGTGGGCACGAGTGAAGAGGAGCCAAACAGAAGGAAGCTTGCTTTCTAACAAACTACACTTGGGGGATGAATCCATTCCACGGGAACCAGTAATAATTCTGTCTCACCAGAATGAGAACTCCCTGACTACCCTGAGAACAGTACGAAGCCTTCCATGAGGGATCTGCTCCCATGACCCAAACAGCTCCCCCAGGCCCACCACCACCACCACATCAGATGAAATCAGCAAAAAGTTGAAACTTGAACATACCGGTATAGCTGAGGTCACATAAGAAGAACATATTATAGTATGAAAAGTACAGGCTTAGAATGGGAGAAAAGGAATCTGTAGACAAAGTGAAGGAACCAGGAAAGAAGGGTGCTCTGGACACCCTGGGAAGGCCAAAGACTAAAGGGCTAGAGGTTACCAACAAATAAAATAAGACCCGGCACATACCTTTTGGCTATGGCAAGTAGAAGGTGATTGGTGACCTTAGAGTAATTTCAGAGAAAGTTGGGGTGCATGGAAGTCAAACTGCAGCGAAGAGTGACTCAAAGGTGAAAAAAGACAACAGTTTATGTATAAATTTTTTATTAAGAAACTTGACCGTGAACAGAAGGATGAAAAAGCAGGGCAGTAGTTACAGGTGTAAAAAGTAAAGAAAGCATAGGTTTTCTTTTTTTAATATGGGAGATATTGATCAAATTAATGAGCTAAGAAGACTTTCCAAAGGACTGAAGAGATTCAAGATAGGGGAGCGAAGGTAACTCAAGCATCCACGTCCTGGAAGGAGGAGGTCTACTTCTTAAAACAGAGGGGTAGAGATATACGAGTTCAGTTAAAGGGGACAGCTGGACACTCCTCCATAGTGGGAGTAGAGGAAACCCTAGAGGCACACGTGTTTCAGATTAACACCTTCCCTTTACCACCACCTGCTTTGAGAACTAATCCCTGTGTGCTTTTTATCCCAATCATGGTCAAAGATGTGTCACAGCTGAGGTTCCTTTAAGGTTTTCCAGAGTGACAACCTTCTGAAAAGTATAAATTTGAGGTGGCAAGGATTGCTCTTCAAAATTGTCTGTGATACTCTAAACCTGAGTGTCTATGTCTATCTCTGATCCCTATTTAGCCTTCCCAGTTCCTCTCTGGAAGCAGAACAGTACAAACTTCAGAACTGGGGATACTTGGGTTTGAATGTAAACTTGGCTCTTTGAACCTCTACACAGGCACCGAGAAGCACAGTTTCATAATGAACAGGGTTGACGGTAGCATCATGCCTTTGCTTCCAGCAAGGTATTGCAAGGGGATGCATGCTACCAGATGGTATCACTGTGATTCTAAAAACTAACTTGGAAATTTAAATAGAAGAACTTTTATAATATTTTGTAATAAGCAGCATAGCAGCTATCAGTATCTTTTGAGAAACACCAAGGCTTGCTTACTATTTCACAAAAGAGTGCTTTAAAAGGGGAGTTAACTATATATCTGCATATTTTTTCTTTTTTAAAAAGGCCACTGTTCCAAATATGCTGATCTTTTCTGTGCTGATAAGGGGCTAACAGTAGTGGAATACCTAGAAAATATTTTTGAAAAAATACAATTGATTGCCTTTCAGGTAAAGGTGCATCTTATCCATGAATAACAAATTAATTACTTTTTGAAGAGTCTGGAGTGATCATTTTGAGAACACCTGTTGGATATTTTTCCATAATTGTATAATTTTGTTGCTTAAAAAGATGTTAGAACTGTCATATATGGATGCTTAAAAAACTTTGAAATGTAACTTCTAACCTTCATAAAAATCGTCCAAAAAGATTTGATGGGCTTCAAACTTAAAAATTTAAAAAGTACAACATTAAAAAAAATTGGTTTCCAAGAACTGGTTTTTAAAAGGACAGATTTTTATTAGTTATATTTTAATGAAAAAAATCTTTAATTATTAGCATATGGATTAAAAATCAAGTGTCAAGATTTGGTAAGCACACCCAATGCCGCCATTACTCCATTTTCCATTTAAATCAACTCATGAGAGCCTTTCTCCTATGATAGAGACAAATCCAAATTTAGAAACAGGCCAAACTTAAAACCTGGTCTTCGAATGACTGTATTGTACAGCATTATACTAAGATAAAAACAAACACACATGTATTCATTTTAAATTTCTGTGAGCACAGAAATGTGTATTTTTAATAAAAACGTTTTTCTCATTCTTTTAAATTTCTGTTTAATGTGTTTTATAGCATTCATAACATATTAGTATTTAGCACATTATCCCATGTAAATCCATAGAGACCAACTGGGGATGCCCATCAAAAATTGTGTTGATGAGGCCGGGCGCGGTGGCTCACGCCTGTAATCCTAGCACTCTGGGAGGCCAAGGCAGGCGGATTGTTTGAGCCCAGGAGTTTGAGGTTGCTGTGAGCTAGGATGACGCCAGGGCACTCTAGCCAGGGCAACACAGTGAGACTTTGGCTCAAAAAAAAAAAAAAAAAATTGTGTTGATGGGTGTCCCGCCAGAACTGTTTGAAAAACCACTTACTTTAGCTACTTTAACCTCCGGTTTTGCTTTTAGTTGAATTTCAGAGTTAAGTTCCAACTTTGAAACTGCTCTTGCATACACACACCAAACACGAATACTGCACATACTATCCCAGGAAAACAAACCAATCTATTGGGTAAAGCCTTCCACAACCACCCTCCCAGGAGCAGGGACCGGCCCTCTCTCTCCCGCGTCACCTCCAAGCCATCTGCAGAGGCCACCCGCCTCCGGCCAGCGCAAAAGGATGCCACGCGAGGCTCAGGCTCCTCCCAGGGTCCAGCACTGGGTATTCGGAGTCAACATTGCACCGGCCAGGGCAATCAGACAGTTCTGGGTCATTTGCCTGGAAGCCTTGCCCTTGATCACCGCGGACGTGAAGCATCCGCAAAGCAGGAATAGTAGCAGCGGCGGCGGCAGCAGCAGCAGCAGCAGGAATCTCCCAGGTACCGGGCGGCGGATGCACGGGGATCCTCGGTGCCCACCCGGATACCACTTCCCTGGAGCTCCGGGGGAGCGCGGGAGAGAAAGGGAGGGAGGAAAGCAGGGGCAGGAGCCAGAGGCAGGAAAGGGAGAACTAGGAGAAAGACGGCGGGTAACCGGGAAGGCGAGCCGCGGGGGCTGCGGGTGTCTCCCCGGCACAAGCCGCGTCAGGAGCCCCGAGCCCGGCGCTGCCCGGGCCCTGCGTGAGTCCGCGGAGGGCCGCGGGCCGGGGGAAGCAGCGCGGCGCGCAGACCTGGCGGGGACCAGCAGCCCGTCCGGGGAAGCCGTGTCCATGCTCCGCCCGTGCGGCGCCGACGCCTCTTCCCTGGGATTTGCCAACAGGGTGGGCGTGGCGGGCGACAGGAGCCTGGGGTTTTGAAAAGCCGGAGATGCGCGGGCGGACCTTGGAGAGGGTGAGTGGGAGGAGCCGCGGGTGCGGAAGGAAGGCCGGGGCGCGACTCGCGGCCTTCTGGGATTGCTGGGAGCCGCGGGCAGCTTCCGGGGAGGTGCTGGTGGCTTCCGCCTCCAGCATACGCTGCATCCCTCTGCGATACAGCTTATTGGTTGTGCTCTCTCTGTTTCTCTCTCTCTCTCTCTCTCTCCCCCCCCCCCCACCCCCCCAAACTCTTTCCCTCCTTTCTTTTCATCTTTCTGTCTTCCATATTTTCTTCTTCATTGGCTGCTTCCCATCAACTTGAGGAAAAAAACAAGACTGCTTCTCCACCCACGTCCCCCGCAGGGCGCAGCGCAGCCACTCTAGTCTCCGTAGTCACTCGAATCGATCCCTCACTTCGGGATCTGCGCAGTCGCTGCTGCCCTCTGCTGTGCGGAGGCTGCCCCGGGCCCGGCCTGCCTCACCGAGGACTGCTGTCCCCTCCTCCCGCCGCAGCCTCCCTGCTTGGACTGGGAATGGAGGAGCCTTCGTTCCCTCGGCCCCCTAGCCGGGGCACACACGCCCTCCCAGTTCTCCCAGCACGTCCGTGATGGCTGGGTGGCAGTCTCTTTGGTTGTTCATTTTACTGTCTCCAAATATTGGAAATTCCCCAGAATTAGATACATTTTTCTCTTGTCCCTCCACTATACGTTCTGAGTAATTTCATCCATTCACACAGACTCTCCCAGAATCGGAATGCTGATGACTCCCAGTCTCTGGCTCTAGAACGTCTACTCGTCTCGAGTCCCTGCCTATATTTACAAACATCCCTGGGCTTTGCTACAGGTTCAGCTGGTATAGTGTGTTCCACACATCTCAAGTGGAATGTATCACCTTCCCCATTCCAGGCTGGCTCCTCATGGAAGATGCCAATGGTTCATGGCCCACCCTAAGTATGAATTTAACTAGGAGCCTCAGGATGCTCCTTGACCCCTCCTGCGACTCTGTCCCTCTGTGAGCACTCTGCTTGGCAGTTCCATCTCCCACTACTCTACTGCAGATGTTTCCTCTGCATTCAGCAGTCACTGGCCCATGGTTAGTGGTCCACCAGCCAGTTCCCCAGTCTCTTTCCACACCAAATGGTGAGCATGCCATCTTTCTAAAACCACAACATACTCATGTAAGACGTTTGCTTAAAAACCATGCATGGCCTTCCAGACTGTGAGCTCAAGTTCAAACTCCTAAACCTGGCATAAGGGGCCCATCCTGTCTCACTACTACGTCTGCTCATAGAAAACCATGCCCATCCACTCCCGTGGACCCCAAGCAAACCATGCCCTTCCTGCCACATTCTTTGCACCTGCTAATTCCTCAGCCAAAAATTCACGCCTTGAAATGATAGCCCAGGTTTCTATAAGATTTAATAGAAATAAACCAGTAATTAATGATAATAGTTAATATTAAGCTGGCATAACTTTTTACCACTTGGAGTAAGGTGTCTGCCTATGTTAGGCTCCTCCCTCCCTCCCACGGAGACTGGTTAGTAGGATGCTAAAACCGATGATTACATTTCAAAGGGATGGCTCCCAGGCCCTTGAGAAACACTTGTCCTGGAATGTAGAGCTGGCAAGAAGTCTTTAAAAGATTTGCATCTCAAAGGGACAGATAAAGAATTTACAATTACCATTTTTCTAAACTAAATGCTTTAAGAAAAAGGAAAACAGGGCAGGAAGAACCCTGTTGAGTTTGTTTATTTAGTCAAGTTTAGCTTGATTACAGTTTAGTCATTCTAAGGCCCTCTTGGCCAGGATGGATCCAAAATCAATGCATCCAATTGAAAGTATTTACCAGATGACAAGATTTCCACTTCGTATTTTATATCCATGCCCACGGGCTTTCTTTGCAGCTCTCCAACCCACTTTCTGCAACACTTATGGAATATGGGGTGTCTTTTTGAAGTCACCCTGAAAAGTAATATTTTTTTTTCTGTCTTCCCAGTGGCCCATATTTTAGGTCAGACTATCCCAAACAAACTCTCCAAATTTGGTGAGATCTATCTAACTGTTTCTCAGGACATGGTGACAGAAATGGTTTTTAATTATAAAGAATTATCTATAATTGTTAGAACATTCTTTATAAATTACATTAGAGATACCAAACTGAAAGAGAACTAACAGCAACAACAGCAGGAAGTTTTGTATAATGGTCAATAATCTGGGCTCTGGAATTGAACTGTGGTTCCAGTCGTTGGTGACTACCTCAGGGATCTGCAATGAACTTAGCTAGTAAACCTCACTCAGTCTTCTCATTCCTAAAGTGGGGCAATCACTGCACTGACCTCAACGTGTTGTTGTTGGGGTTAAATGAAATGATACATGGAAAGTGCTGAAAATGGTGCCTGGCACCAAGACATATTGGCCACGGTTACACTAAGGTAGGGGTTACACAGCTGTCAAAGGGTGTCAGCACCGCTATTGCTAAGAGTGGTACCGCCATGGACCCTGGGATTGGCTATTTCTCAAATAAACCAGTGCTTTAGTTTCCTATTGGTGCTGTAACACTTTACCCAAATTTAGTGGCTGAAAATAACAGGAATTTATTATCATACAGTTCCGGAGGTGGTAAGTCCAAAATGGTACAGCAGAGCTGTGTTTTTTTCTGGAGGCACTAGGAGAAAAATCTCTTTCCTTCTTTTTTCCAGATTCTAGAGGTGGCCTCATTCCTTGGTCAATGTCCCCACATCACTCTGCTCTTTGCTTCCATTGTCACGTCTCCTCTGACTCAGACCCTCCTGCCTCACTCTTAAAAGGACCCTTGTGATTCCATTAAGCCCACAAAGATATACCAGGATAATCTCCATATCTCAAGATACTTAATTCAATTGCATTTGCAAAGTCCCCGTTGCCAAGTAAAATAATAGCCACAGATTTCAGGGATTAGGAGTGGAAGTTTTGTGGGGTGCAGTTATTCTTCCTTCCACACATGGTGTCTGCTGACTGCGTGACTATGGGAGGGCTCGGCTGATGTGCTTCTGTGTTGTGCCTTGATCCAGACTTGCCCCGATGGATGATATCTGCGAAGCAAATGGCGCTTTTGCCATCAACTTATTTAAAATGTTGGGAGAAGAGGACAACTGTCGAAACGTATTCTTCTCTCCTCTGAGCATAACCTCTGCCCTGGCCATGGTCTTGTTAGGGGCAGAAGGAAACACCGCAGCCCAGATGTCCCAGGTACGTGTGCCTGACGCAAAGAAAGAACACGGCATGTTCCTTTCGTGCTTCCGTGGAGCAGGTTTTTCCATCCTTTCACTCCAGCTGGTGAAAGCCTGTGTGGCTGGCAGGAGCGGGGAGGAGGGGCACCTCGGTGATGGAGAATGGGCAGACATGGGTAGAAAGGTGAATTGTGTAGGACATTTCATCTCCTCTAACGTTGATGGGAGAAATTAGGTCATAAAGTTATTTTCTTTAGGGAAAATCGTCAATACAGTCTGGCAAAATCACAACTTTGATAAGTAAGGCAAATTATAAATCATAATTTGGTCTGGAGAACTTCTGTAAAATTGCAGATGAGACACTTTTATTTCTGCTCTCTTTTGCATTCCCTGGGTCATGTTAGATTCATCCCAGCTACCTTTGTTTCTGGTCCGCTCCCTCCTGAGTTACTGCACACGGCCTTGCTGGCCTGGATGAATCTGCTCGACCAGTGGTTCTCACCAGGGGCGAGGAGGTGGATTTTGCCTCCCTGGGAACACCTGGGGAGAGCTGGAGAGTTTTAGTTCTCATACCTGCGGTGCTACTGACATCTAGTGGACGGAGACCAGAAATGCTGCAAAACATCCTCCAATGCACAGGACAGCCCCACGACAAAGTATCCATCCCCAAATGTCAACAGTGCCCAGATTGAGAAACTCCGCGCTAGACAATTAAACCAAACTCCTTTTAAGATAGTAACCTGTGTGATTTTTAGTACAGAGATTTGTTTGGAGTTAGCCCTTTGGGGGAGTATTAATGGTAGTGTTAAAAGCCGGAGTTGTTTTCTATTCCCAGGCACTTTGTTTGAATGAAGACGAAGATGTTCACCAAGGTTTCCAGTTGCTTCTCTCTGAAGTTAACAAAACTGGCACTCAGTACTCGCTCAGAATTGCCAACAGACTCTTTGGAGAAAAAACATGTGATTTCCTTCCAGTAAGTAGTACTCACATGCTGATGAAAAAGAAATTGAAAATAAGATAAAAGCTATAGAAGAGCAGAGCATACAACATAACTCTACTGCTTTAAAATGTGCTTAGAATTACACTTCTGCAATTATACTTTTAAATTTTATGATGGCTTCTGAATTATGTCCCTTTTCAATTGTTTCTGATACATCCCTCCCTGATATCAATGTCAATATGTCCGTTTTCCTGTACCCAGACTTGCTTCTTCCCCTCAATTCCCTATCCCTGAGTGACCACATCATTCAACATGTTGTGCAGAGTTCCTCCCCAATTCCACATCTGGTCGTTGGAAAGCTTCCTGCTGAGATGGGCTCTCAAGGTCTCCTAAATTCACTTCCTCCTCTGAATCACCACTGGCATTGTTTGGGCTCAAACTCTGGTTGTATCTTCTACATTATTATTAATTGCTTCTAATTTGTCTTTCCAAGTCCAGCCTGGTTCTTTCCTTTGTCTCCTAAACTCACACTACCGATGAAAAATAGTCTTTCTAAAATGAAAATATGTTCATAAAGCTGAGGTTTTTAAATCTGGGTAGATTCTATTTACTGCAGCATACAATTTCAAAGTTCCCTAGTCCAGTCACAGCTTGCCATAAAGCAATGAGGTCCAAAAAATTATGCCACATAATATGCTGTCTTGAAATTAAGGAAATGATACCAGCAAGCTTAGCCATCTTAGTGCCTGAGAGTTCAGAGGGTTCTCATGTAAGAATTCCTGTCCCAGCCACTGCTGGGTGCTGCTCTATGAAAGTTACCTGCTCTGGGCTTACCTACCTGTGGAGATGATTCTGGATCTCAGAAGTCTCCTGGGTGGATCAATGTTCATTTCTGAACATCAGCCTGATCTTTGACTATTATATAACGGGGACACGGGGCACCAACCACCACTGTTCTCCATTGCTTGGCTCCTCCTTCCCTCTACGTCCTCTTTCTTTGGTAGAAATTAAAATCTCTGAGAACAAGGAATGGTTAGAGGATGGGAGCCAATTGCCAGGCATATTATGTCTGAAGCCAGGCTTTTGTGGGGTGAGTTATCTGGGTTTTAATGTATTGGGTACAGTCCTTTTCTGATTAGACCCCAACTTACATTTCAAGGCTCATTCCCTGGCACTATGTTTTCCCAAATCTTCTCTCTGACACATACAAACACACAGACACCACACATGTGCACATGCACACATGCGAAAACACACACATGCACGCACACAATCTACACACATGTACACATAGCACTTACATGTACGCGTGCGTGTGCACATGCACACACTCATGCATACATGTTTGTGCATGGACGGTGACAGCCATGACGTCTTGCAAATGTCTGCATGTCTCGGCTGCCTTTCTCACCAGGCTCTGAGCCATCTCAAGCCAAGCACCTCACAAAGTGTCAGGTGCAAATCGGTGGCCCAGACATTTTTGTTAATTGCATGAATGCATCTTAAAATGCGGCGTGACCTGTGCAAGCATTTATGGTAGACATGTGTTAAGAGGGGAAAAAATTGTTTTCATAGTTGTGGGAACGTTTGTGGAGTAAGACCAAACTCAACGTTTTGTGTTTGCAGACCTTTAAGGAATCCTGTCAGAAGTTCTATCAGGCAGAGCTGGAGGAACTGTCCTTTGCTAAAGATACTGAAGGATGTAGGAAACACATAAATGACTGGGTGACAGAAAGGACTGAAGGTAAGAGGTTTTCATTTCAGTGGACTTGGAATGACAATGGAATGAGGCTGGGATTGGCTGGGACTGTATCTCCACAGTGTCGCCACTGTGACCTGTTACCATGGCCTGCCTGTATGTGTTTCCTGGGTTTTCAGGCCAGCGATGCAGAGGCAATCTGTTATTTATCTTGGGCTTATCAGATTATGAAGCAGTGATTTTTAAAAAACTCTTAAACCTAATGTTAAAATTCTCCCCTCTGGACTGTTCTGGAAAATTTTTGAAAAATGTTTCCTCCCGGAAACCTCGTTTATCTTCTATCTTGGGGGTCCTCTCACATGCTCTGAGGAAGAACGATGTTCAGTTAGGTTGCAGCTTAGATACAGCAGCATTTCGAGTCACCGTGATATCTGCCTGTGGTGATGCGAACCGCCCACTAGTTTGATCTGCAGCCCTCTCCGTCCTTTCTAACTTGGCTGGAGCTACATTTGCTTTCACAGTGTGGACTTTTCTGAATTTGCTCCAGTTTCTGGAGGTGCAGCTAACGAGCCTGCAACACCCCCTGTCCAGACCCTACTCTATCCCACCAGAAATATTTCTGCCAGTTTTTGCCTTGAGTATGGGGGTGAAGGGGCATGCTTTTAAGCCCCCTAAGTACATAACAAGTAATTTATATACTTCTAAAAAGTGGAGAAATTAAGTCACTTATTTCAGTTGCCAACCAAGTGTCATTGTTTCATCTACTCGATCTCTGTGGTGCATCTGTTGTGTGTTGGGCAGCAGCAATGCCTGTGATTATACTGAAAGGTGATTATAAAATAATTACCATGGGAAGGGAAGAGACTTTCACATTTTCATACATCACCTTTCCAGTGGCCTCTTACTCTCCGGTTGATCCAACAGTACTAAGTCACCTGGGGAACCTACAAGTTTCTGTACACTTTGCCCTTCTATACCCATTACTTCTCCTCCAGAGCCGCTTCCTTCCTTCCTTTAGGCTGATCACCAGGACTTTTACCCAGAACATTAGAGCTTCCAGGACCTTGGAGATCACCTTGTCCCCCGTCTTATTGGACAACTCAGCTTGGGCCCCTTTATTCCATCCCCGCTCTTCTCCATCCCCCTAACTCCTCTGCCCCAGTCGCTCCTTTCAGGCAGCCTGCCCCCTCCCAGTGACAGATCTGTGCCCCCTCCATCCTTTTGGAGCCGCTCCTTACCCAAATGAGATCTGAAGATTGACAAAGAGCAGTGATCCTCAACCAGGGGGTGAGGAGGGTGCCCTCCAGGTGACATTGACAATGTCACAATTGAAGGAAGTGCTGCTGGTTAAACATCCTATAGTGCACAGGACAGCCCCCATAATGAAGAATTATCTGGCTTAACATGCCAGCAGTGGTCTGGTTAAGATGCTATAGGGCCAAGGTTGAGAGTCCTGTAGTGAGAATCAAGATGTGCGGATTATTTTCTCAGCTCAGCCACTTGCCACCTGTGTGAACTTGGCAAAAAGTCAAGCAAATGCTCTGATCCTGAATTTTTACATCCATAAATTGAGGGCAAAACGATACTTCCCTACCTACTTCAAGATTGTTGTTTAAGGGCAATTCATCAGGTGGCCAGAAAGACGGGACCGCAACCTGACTCTTAACCAAGAGTTAGGCTTAATGTGTCAAGGGGATTTTTGTAAAACAATGCGTATTTCCCCCCAGATGGCAATAGACTTCTCTCATGTTCTTTACAGGTAAGATTTCAGAGGTGCTGGCTGCTGGGACAGTTGACTCACTGACGAAGCTGGTCCTTGTGAATGCCATCTATTTCAAGGGAAAGTGGAATGAGCAGTTTGACAGCAAGTACACAAGGGGAATGCTCTTTAAAACCAAAAAGGTTGGGAAATACTTTTCAGATACACTGCTACTTTCTTAAAGTAATAAGATGGGAAAGATTATGAGTAGAAAAAATAAATAATTCATTCCACACTATCTTGATTCTTAATCTATTCCTGAATGAATTAATGCTCTCTGAATATCTTTAATTGGAGTGAAGAGGAGAGAAATGAAAATAATTTTTGTATTTATAGTTTTGTTTTTCCATCTTTGGTCAAATACATCTTCCATCTCTGGTCCTATGATTTGGATTGGAGGAAAATTTCCTCTAAGCTTTGATTTACTTAGATACCTTTTTGCAATGTCAGTGGGAACTATGCCTATTTATTTCCTTAAAATTCAACGCTATACAATTCTGAACACAAGAAAAAAATGTTAGCAGATGTTAAGACTAACTTTAAAAACACTTTTCTGCATTCTGTTTTGAAAATGATAATGGTTGGAGGCCAGTAGTTGTTAGCCTGGGACTTGACCTTCATCAACTTGAGAATAACAGATTGCACAAAGACATGAAAGTTAAAAATATATTTGACTCAAGCTTTAAAAACAGCTGAACTTGCACATGTTGTCAAGGTCCCCTCCCCAGGAAAACCAAGGCCATAAAACCAATTACATAACTGGGAAACTTTTCAGAGTAAAAGCATAACTCCCTTTGGCCTGAACATCTTTTCTATCTAAACAGATCCTTCAGCCCAAGGGCCTGAATGTTAGTTAGTTAATTAATGCTCCTCTTACTTTGGATAACTACTTTTTAATTATAAGGCCATGAGAATGCTTCTCTATGAATCTTCTCAAAAAACCAAATACAGCTTCTTCTAAAAATAATGTAGAGATTTGTGTCCTTTTATATTGGCCAAGATATTCTTTCTCACCTGGTGATATTTGATCTGCTGGAACAATAGCATGTTCTATTCAATACTACGATGTACTAACGAAGATTTTATACCTATCAGCATAAATGTGCCGAAATGATAATTAATATATATGCCTACGGGTTCTGTGAGTCAGATATATATTAGTTTAAGTAAACTGTGCTTATTTTTTTGTCATCTAATTTAAATTTCATGTTTGTATTAGGAGAAAAAGACAGTGCAGATGATGTTTAAGCAAGCTAAATTTAAAATGGGGTATATAGAGGAGGTGCACACCCAGGTCCTGGAGCTGCCGTACACAGAGGAGGAGCTGAGCATGGTCATCCTGCTCCCAGACGAAGACACCGATCTTGCCGTGGTGAGCCCTGGGTGATGAGTCTGAGTGTCTATCAAGTCCAGCTGAGCTCGTTGCTTTTGCACTCATCTACCAGATGGCATTTGAGGAGTCTCCAATTTGGAGTTATTGCAAGTAGTTCTGGGTGAACACTGCTGCATGTCTTTTGGTGAACATGTGTATGCATTTCTGTGGAGTATGTATCTAGGAGTGGACAAGATTTGATGAAGCTAAGAGAGATTTCCAAAAATATGAGAACAATATTATTTATTTTGAATGGAGGAGCTAGTTGAGGGCACAATAATTATTTAACAAATGTCCTAAAAGAAGAGCAGTAATTGATCAGGGCAGTGCTTCTCAAACATTAATGTGCATATAAAGATCTTGGGGATCTTGTTAAAATGCAGATCTTGAATCAGTGGAGAGTGGCCTGAGATTCTGCGTTTCTATCAAGATTCCAGGTGATGCAGATGCTGCTGGTCCGTGGACCACACTCTGAATAGCAAGAGTCCAAAGTGCAGATGGGAAATTTACCTTCATGAGGTAAATGAGACATGAGGAGAGAGAAGTCTTACTGTGACAGAAAAGAAACAGAGTTCAGGAAGGGAGAAAATAAACTTGCAAGGTAGGATATGCAGAACCAATAGTGTGCCAGTAAGCACCTCTCTGGTAGAGGAAGCCTTCATTTATAAAGTTTTCTGATTCCCATGGTGTAAATCCTCCCACCAGGGCTGACTTTAAGCTACCAAGGGTTTAACAGTTGATAGGAGCCAGCCCCAGCACACCAATGCACAGGATGTTGAGGGTGGGGCTGCCTAATTTCCCTGGTTTCTCTATGGAATCAGAAATCTTTGGGTATAAATTGAGGATGACATATGTCATGGCCACTTATGAAAAAAAAAAATAGGAAAGTCTAGAAACAGAGCCAAAGTCAAAACAACCATCACTGGGGAGGAGCACTGACCTGGGCTCCAGTTGGTAAAGGGAAGGGGAGATGCAAGTGGAAGTCTTCTCTCCTTCGTCTCCTTCCTCCTTATGGATAAATAGAACAAGTGATGGGTCTTGGAAGAGTTGAAGCTAACTCCAGGACAGGCAAAGGGCAAAGAAAGATGCCAGAAGCAACAGTCTTGTTGAATTCCCCATTTTTGCTCTCCTCTCCCCTCTCACACCTCTTATCATGTTCAGGTGACACCGGTCCTCCCCCATTCAACCCTGAGTAGCCCCCGGTTCAACTCAGAATCAGACTTCTGAGCCATGCTCTGTGTCTTTCTTTTGTTAAACGATCTCACGCACTCACAGTAATGTGTACTGAATGGATATTAATATAATCGGTTCGTTGGAATTTTCTAAACTGTTAACAAATGTTTTTCAACATTTGAAGTGAGTTTGGTACAGATTGTTTTTATTAAAAATTTCTACCCATCTCAGCTATTTTCTATCTCTTATACTCATATACATAAGACAAGGAAAAGACAAGAATTTTGGGAAACATCTTGGTGTGTTCATAACAAACAATATGTGTGGGTTTTCTTGGACCAGAACTCACCATCTAGTCGCTTATCATGGGGGTGGGTGTGTAATAAGTGGGTGGGTGGGCACCAGGCTGTTGTCACCTAGATTTTAAGATTTGGCTCTTATTCCAGGTGGAACAAACACTTACATATGAGAAGTTCAGAGCCTGGACAAATCCAGAAAAGATGATGCAGAGTAAAGTTCAAGTTTTCCTTCCCAGACTAAAGCTGGAGGAGAGTTATGACTTAGAGTCTTTCCTTCGAAGTTTAGGAATGACTGACGCTTTTGAAGAAGCCAAGGCTGACTTTTCTGGAATGTCAACTAAGAAGAACGTGCCCGTGTCCAAGGTCGCCCACAAGTGCTTTGTGGAGGTTAATGAGGAAGGCACAGAGGCGGCCGCGGCCACTGCGGTGGTCAGAAATTCCCGGTGCAGCAGACCAGAGCCAAGATTTTGTGTAGACCACCCTTTCCTTTTCTTCATTAGGCATCACAAAACCAACAGCATCTTGTTCTGCGGCAGGTTCTGTTCTCCGTAGAGAGGTGTCATTGCTGTACACGCCCTCCTTTCTAGTCTGCCTATCTTGCCTTAATTAAAATCTTATGGGACTAAATTGGTGGGGTGGCTTGAATGCCAAAATAAAGTGTGTGCACCTGGGTAGTTTGTGAATGTTTTTGCTGAGGATTCTAGAGCCACTGAGAATAACTGAGGCTTCAGATGCGTGAAGGTCAGGGCTGAGAAGGTGGTGCTGGTTTTGGAATGTTTGGGGTGCCTCTCATTGCCTCTGCACTCACCTAAAGTCTGTGCCCATTGTTCTTGGGCATCCTTAGGAGCATCTCAGGGCTTCAACAGCCATCCCTTGGTGTGCTCTTCCATCCTGCAGTGATCTCCAAGCTCTGCCCACCACCATTGACAGGCTCACCAGGGGACGTGAGTGCCCAGGCCCCATTGCACACAAAGCCAGAGGTAAATTCTACAGAGTGAACGCTGCAGCCATGCCATGTCTGACACACAGCTGAGATGTGTCTCTTTTTCCATTAGCATCACACAGACAGCCTCACATGTCCCTTATCTTATACAGTCCCTCATGAAAACAGCTGATTTAGATCTTCTTTCCATAACCCACAGATACAAGTTCGGCAGCTCCAAAGTGAGCTTCAGGACTGAGCTAAGAGGCAAATCTCTGAAACATGTCATGTCATCCTCCCCATCCCCTTTCCCTCTGAAACACACACAGAAGGCCAAGGAATCTTCATACAAAACACCTCTTGGAAACAAAGACCCCTCTAGTTAATCATTTATACTTAGACATGGCTTACGCACATGCCTTGCTTAAGAAAGGCCTCCCTATATTATACTTTTCTGACAACAGAAGAGAAAATATGCATTGTGGTAGCAATTTGGAAACTATAGAAAAGTATACAAAAAAATTTGTCACCCACAATTCTATCACTTAGCAATTATTGCTGTTAACAGTGACACGCATCCTTCCCGATGCATGCAAATATAAATTTATAAGCATTTAATACAAGTTAATTGTATACTTCTGTAGCTTATTTCTACCTTTACTTCCTTACTATAAACCATCCTCAAGATCTTTCCAGGTTATAAATTAGATGTGTATAGTATTCCTATATGGCTGTATTTCTATAATTGAATCTACTTTGAGTCAGTTTGGGTAATTATAATTATACTGTTTTGAATATCCTAAATATTTGCTCACATCCCTAATATTTTTAAATAAGTATTCCTAAAAATAGTATTCCTAAAAATAGATAACAATTCAGCACATTTTGAGACTTCTTGCAAACTGGTCTCCAGAAAGTTGCACTATTTACACGCCCACTTACATCACCATGTACGCCTCCCTCACTGCTGCCTGCCTTATTTTTGTTACGAGTTGAACTGAACAGTGATTACACTTGACTCTATTTTTGACTTATGGTTCACAGTTCTATGAACTATGCATATTACAGCTTTTACTTAAAATTTGAATTTATTTAAAACTTAAAATTAAAAACTAGAATTTATTCTCTGATAGGCCACATTCATTTCAGGGACCATGTTTTCTAAAGCAGGTTTGGCCAAAAATTAATCCACATTGAAAAGTGTACATCTGTGAATGTTGGTCTCATTTCACCTCTAATTTTTTAAAATTCACACTTTTATTGAGGTATAATTGATGAAGAATAACCTTCACATGTACCACGTGTAACGTGTACAAGTGGATAAGTTCTGACACATGTATGCCCATGAAACAAACCATCAACCACATTCAAGATAATGAACATATTTATCATACCCCCAATTTCTTCTTGTATCTCTGTAATTTTTCCTTATTCCTCCCTCCCTGCCCCATCGCAATCACTGATCTGCTCAGGGAACTACTGATCTGTCACTATAGATTAATTTGCATTTTCTAGAATCATATATAATCTACTCTTTTTGGTATGATACCTATCACTCAATACAATTCTTTTGAGATTCATCCATATTGTGTATGTATCAATAGTTTATTCATTTTTATTGGCAAATAATATTCATTGTATAGATGTACCATAATTCGTTTATCCATTCACCTTTTGATGAACATTTAGGTTGTTACCAAGATTTTGGCTATTGCAAATAAAGGTGTTATGAACATTTATGTGTTTATCTTTGTACGAACATATTTCTTCATTTCTCTGGGTAGATACACAGAAGTGGAATGGCTGGGTCAGAGTTGTATATTTAACTTTTTAGAATCTGCCAAATTGCTTTCCAAAGCGGCTGTGTCATTTAACATTCCCAATAGAATTTATGAGAGTTTCAGTTGTTCTGCATCCTCATCAATATTTGGTACTTCCACTTGGTACTTTTCACATTTAGTCCTTTCCCCGTCCCTCCCCTTGGCTCCCGGGTCCATAAAATGGCTGGAGCCTTTTGTTCGGGGCTCCCTAGGCAGTGAGACAATTCGCCTACCTATTCTTCCTTTGCCTTGTGCTGTTCCAAGGGGGTGAAGAATGGCGCCATGCGCTGGGTAGCCTCTTGCTTATACCGTCACAGTAAGGGAGTAAAGACTGTTACTTTCAGTGCGGCCAGTTTGACACCCGAAAGTGCTCCAGGCACTCTGTCTCTTTCTGTTTCTTCCTCTCTATCTCTCTGTCAAATCCGCAAGGGAACGGGGTGATCAATTCAGCACAAAGCCTTTTTGGAAAAGCAAAAAGCCGAAGAAGTCCTTCAGGGCACTGGTGGAGGTGCTAATAGATCATTTATTTGCAAGAGTCTGAGAGCGCTGCAGGGCGCTTGCCGGGTCTCCGGGAAGTGCTAATGGATTGTTTACATAAACTTTTCAGTCCTGAGGGGACCACCGGTCTTTCTCTTTAGCCTCTACTCTCCAGCCAAGCTCACCCCAGGCGTCACGTTAGAGACCCGAGGGAGGGCTGTAGGAAGGAGGGAGGAAGCCCCTGCCACCGCTGCAGTCCTGCGGCGACGCGGGCAGCTGAGCTGCGCCGGCGACTGTTGTCAGCGCTCGGCCTCCCTGGCGCTGGTGAAGGACCCGAGGCACGGCGAGTTTCTGACAACCCTAGGGCTTGTGCTTCCGGTGGAGAGGAGTGTAGAGCCCTCCCAGGTCACTTTACTCAGCGACCTTGAGCGACCTTGGAGACTGGGCCAGCTCGCCTCCAGGAGAAAGGCGGTAATCTTGTTGAGTTTAGCGAGGGAGTGTGGGCTGGAGGGGCGCCCTCCTTCAGAGCGCCCTCTTCTTCCTAGGCTGGGTACGACGTGGGATCCCACAGGTTGGAAGGCTTGGTACACTGCGACGAGTTCCCTGCCACTGAAAAACACGTCGGGACCACGCTCGCAGAGGCCGCAGCAGCCACCCTGTGGTCCCCTGAGTCTGCAAAGACGGCTCGAGGGGAGCAGATGAGACCGTTAACCAGACTCAGCTTTCTGGGCTTTTCACGGCACTCTTGCTGGTTATCAAGCCCCATTTAACCTCACCAGGCGAGGTCAATCAGTCTGAGACACAATCCGGAGATTTTAACAAATTACAAACGCATGGAAAAGGCCGGTACTTGAAGACAGCAACGATTGCAGAAAAGGGGAGGCAAAGATGCCCCTGGAGCGCCCTCTCCTGGAAGATCCAGGCAGCGCACTCCCGAAGAGCGCTCTGGGCCGAGTTACTCAGCAGACTGAGGTTTCCCCACCGAGGTTCCAGGCCCTGGGGCCCCGCAGGCAGCGGAGTCCGCTTGGTGAGAGCATCTATGGCTGATTCAAGTGTTATCCCTTCTATCCCTTCCAGTGAGTCTGGAGATGAGCCCAAGAGCCTCATCAACGTTTCCCCACAACTCTAGGCTTTTAAAACTAAACAAAACTTGGGATAGGCCAAGGTCCCTCTGTGCCCGAGGGGGACTGGAGGTCCTTGCCGAGGTCGGAGTTCAGCGGGGAAGTAGAGAAAATTGCACTTCTTGGGCATTTTGAACCTGTGCCCAGGTGGCTCTGGTCCCCACAATCCCTGGCACCAGGACGAGGGGGAAACAAATAAAACTCTCTGGTTTGGGTCTGAGACCACCACCACCTGTCCTGGCTCTGGGAAAGGACCTTTGGGCCCCTACAAATCTCATGTTGTGGCTCCCACCACAGAATGTGTTCTTGGTACAGATGTATTGTCTGTATGCAGGCCCGGCTCTGATGGGAGTTGCTGCAGTTAGGGCCATCTTAGTGGGACACATGGAAGCCTATCCAACTATTGTCACCTAGGCCACTGTCCCCCAAAACAATATCACCTGCCTATCTGCTGTGCTTAAGTGAGCCAAAGTTCCCTGTGAGACCATTTCTCCACAGCTCTGTCTGGCCTGTGCACAAGTCCTCGGGTACCTGGAAATCACCCCTTATTATTGGCGGCTCAGGGCTGTAGTGCCATCCTTGGCATTGGCGGTACTCGACATTTTGGCACTTACAGAGACTGTTATGTAACTGTTGACATCATCAATGTCATTTTCAGCATCCTTCTCCACCTGGTTGACCAGGATCAACTTGCCTTCATGTGGAATGGGTTGCAATACACCTTTAATGTCCTTCCACAAAGCTACCTAAATTCCCACCTTTTACGGCTTCTGAGGAGTACTTCAGTGTAATGCTTATCCATGCTCTTCTATAGGAAAGGTATTAAGGTACTTTTTTGACCCTCTGGCTACTGTCAAGATTTTTTCCTTGTGTTTGATTTTCTTCAGTTTGAAAAGGATATATGTAGTTTTAGGCCACAGCCAAATTTATACCTTAATTTTAGCCCATCTCTGGGTCCCATTCAGCATCTCAGCCCATGATCATGACAGTTATACTTTTGTAGATCAGCCAGTAAATGGAGAGGTCACAGACTGGTGCACAACTGAAAGTCTATCAAAGACTCTTCATAAATGTATGCCAAGAATAAGCATCGTGTTATGGAAGCCAGCTTAGAAAGCCAAGAAATGTGTCACTCTGGTTTTCCTCCTCCTGCTCCCTGACCCGCCATGCCCTTGTGAGATGGGTGGAATTGTTTGACTTTTATAATACTTCTGCTTGACTCTCAGAATGCTGTGTGAGTGTGTGTGTGTATTTATTATAAGAAATTGGCTCATGCAATTATGGAAGCTGAGAAGTCTCAGGATCTACAGTCAGCAAGCTACAGACC